CAGCCCCACCTTCTTCCCTAGTTCAGACCGGGTCCCTCCATTCCCCCGGGTCCCTGCCAGCGCTGCCCGGTTCTTCAGTCCTAGTTGGGTTCTCCCTGTCCCTACCAGTCCTGAGCAGGTCCCCCTTGTCCCCCATCTCCCTACCAGCACTGCCTTGTTCCCTGGTACCAGCTGGGTCCCTGCCAGTCCCACGACATCCCCAGTCCTTGCCAGGTTCTCCCTGTCCCTACTGGTCCCCGATGGGTCTCCCTTGTACCTACTGGCTCTGTATTGTTCCCCAGTCCAGACCAGGTCACCCATGTCCCTACCAGTCCCACCTTGTTCCCCAGTTCCTACCAGCTCCTCCTTGCCCCCCCAGTCCCAACCAGACCCTCCAAGTCCCAACCAAGCCCCAGTCCCAACCAGGCCCCCCAGCTTGTCCCCTAGACCCAGCCCTTTCCTCTGGCATCCCTCTCCTTGCCCTTTGGGCCCAACTCAACACCCCTGAGCTCCCCTCTCTTCATCCCAGCCCCCAAACAAGCTCTTTTTCACCCGCAGGAGGTGAGTGCATTTGGGGAGGCCGGTGAAGGTGACTACCTGGACGACTGGACGGTGGTGTGCAGCGGGACCTACTGGGCGCGGGACAGCGAGGTGCGCTTCCAGCACACCTCCACCGACGTCTTCCTCTCAGTGACGGGGGAGCAGTACGGGCGGCCTATCCATGGGCAGAAGGAGGTGCACGGCATGGCTGCCTCCAGCCAGAATAACTACTGGAAGGTGATGGAGGGCATCTTCATGCAGCCCAGTGAGATCTTCAAAGCAGAGCAGTACCATGCTGAGTTGTGATGGACAGACAGACTGCCACCGAGCCTCTGGGTGCTGCCCTGCAGTGTTTGGGACCACTCAACCCAGGGAACAGCCTCTGTCTGCATGCTGGTCTGACACACGCCAGGATGCAGAACCCCAAATCCAACACAAAGCAGATCCCAACATCCTGAATTTAATGCGGAGTTGATCCCCGTGCCCCAAATCCCAACATCCAGACCTGACACAAGGTCCAACATGAAGCGGTCCCCACATCCTAAATCCAGCCCAAAGCAGATCCTAATATCCAGACCTGACCCAAAGCAGAGCCTGACGCCTGAGACCCAGCACAAAGCAGGTTCCCCTGTTCCAAATCCAGCATAAAGCTGAGCCCAGTGTCCAGACTCGACCCAGAGCAGATTCCCAAACTCCCTGACCCCTCCCTTGTAGCTCTCTCCTCCGTGCCCCGGGTCCCCTCCGGCCGAGGACCACCCGAAGGGCTGCGGTCCCCGGGAGCTGTGCTCCATCACTCACCCCCTCCGTGTACCCCAAACCCTCCCCCGCGCCCAG